AAATTTGATGCCGGTTCCTGCTCTTCATTAAGGCAGTTTCACAGCATTCTCAAAATGAGGGAAATTGCTTACTCATTGTTTTTGAAAGTTTTGCAGTAGCTAATAAAGAAAGTAAGTTATACTTTCTATTTTCATTGCCGAGATAGGATGAAAGCAGAATTTCCTGTCATGTCCTTACAATAAAATCAAGGTAAAAAGGAAGACAGTGTTTTTGAAGTGGTTATTAACAAAGTAAAGTTCTGGGCGTCAACCTTTTTGAAACACATAGCTATCAAATCAAAATATTGACTTAAAATTTCAAATGGGTAGTGGAAAGTGATGATATCATTTGAACAAAACGGACTTAAGAAAATTGAGAACCACGTCTTTGTTATTTATTCATGATTACAATGTGTTGAAAACAAAACTGCAGGACAGTTTATGGATATAACTACATATCTTAAGCACAAGCAACTAACTACATTTCGTTAGAAAATATTTAAATTAATTATTTGATCAGTAACTGATAAACTGAGACTGTTTTTACAACACATTATTTTGTCTGTGCTACTTTCTCTAGCTTGCTTCTCTGGTATTTCTGTCTTTCTATGATATTGATTTTCTGGTACTCGTCAGCAGTGGAATCTCATTTAAATAAGCCAAGCTCTGAAACGTTTTAGATCTTCACCAAAAATCTGATTTTGTAATAAAAATTGGGAAGGAGGTAGACACAGATGTTCTGTCAGTTTCACAAAGTGCTGCGATTTCCAAATGGTGTCACACAGTTGAGAGCGTTCAGTCCAGTGCATAAACATCATTAGCAATGACTGCTGGAGTAATTCTCCTTTGTACCCACAGCACTGTTCACTTTCATAATACAGTAATTAAAGTTAGAAAATTCATTGTAATTGAAAATTCTAATATGTACTTGTTAACAAACCCAGGTGCTTAAAAATAAATTTATAATTATAATTTAAGAAGTCAGATCCTTAATGAATTAGTCACTTTTGAAAATATGACTAAAACTCCTAACTTTCTGAAACACTTCTGAAAATTTTACTCAAAAGTCCTCTTGAGAGTAAATGGTGATGGGGGAGGAAGGATGAAAAAATACGTAGGAGTTTAACTGCATAGAGTTTTGGAAACACAGAAACTGGAAATTAAGTCACTTAAAAGCTTTGAAAAACTTTGGCCAGGCTCCTTAAAGTCTTTTCCATCACACACGTCTGCCCTTCGCCTTCTTCCTTCCTGTGCAGTAAGTGAATGAATTGTAATTAGTGTAAAAGCTGAACTTGCACCTGAGGATATTTTCTGTAGACAATGAACCAACGGAGCTAATTCAGATTAACAGAGACTACACGCGGCACACAGACGTTTCTACAGAGCATACGGCTTTGACTGTCAAACCGAAAAACCTCATAACAATACTGAAATAGAGCAAGGGGTCCTTAAACCCTGAAAACTGCACAAAAGGAAGACACTGCTGGAAAACTACGACGTCTGGAAAACAAACTATCACATCTAACTGTCCAAAATTTCAGCTCAGAGTAGCGCAAACAACAACAAAAAGTTTTTCACCCCTAGTGGGATTTTGGTGGTTTCACTTTCTATTTTCATCACACTTTACAAAAAGGTATAATATAAAATGAAGGCACGAAACTGCTTTCACTTAAAATACTTCAGCACATCTACGTGAAATTTATCGGGAAATACAGAACCAGCTCTTGGTTTTCACCACAAGACAGAAGCTGATATGGTAGAAACTTTATATTTTTATTCCAGAAAATCTGCCAATACTCATTACGGAATTCTCAAAAATCTCTGAAACGCAAACAGATCCTTACTCATCAGTATTATTGTTTCCTTATACAGCTCCACATGTCTGATGGTACCTCTCAATTGTGTCTGAAACATAAACTATAAAATGTTTGGCTCACCATTAGGTGACTTACCATGACTGGCTTCTTTAGGCATTACACAATACTGAATAATGATAGCAGTAGCATTTATAGTTATTAGAATGATGGATGATTAGACACGACAAATCTAAGTGATACTGAGAAACTGGAAGGGTCATTTTGAGAGCACAGAAACTTGATTTCTTGGCTTTAACAATGCACAGTAATGAACAGAAGTATATCCGAAGCATTTGTATAACCTCAATAATTATGAAAAATTGGTGTCTTATTCTGCAATTACTTGCAGAAGAGCATAAAATTCCTTGTTGTATTTCTTAACTCATGTTGTTTTTTCTTATTTTAATTTTATTGGTCTTCTGAGTTAAATAAAGTAAGGATAAAGCCAGACCCTATGGGACCTATCTGGCAAGCTGTCATACTTCATATGACGTGTCATATGCAGGACATGTCAATACAATTACCTGTTGTAGTTATCTATTATTTTCGTTTTAAGAAGTGGAAGCTGTGTAGGGTGGAAACAAACCTTAAGAGATTTTTATTATGTCACCTATTACAGTAAAAAGTAGCACTACCACCACTGAAAGCACAAAAAGCTTGACCCTGCTGTAAGAAACCTGAAGTTTAGACAGTTTATGAGAAGTGGAGGAGAAATAAATCAAAGTGGAACAGAATTGGGAATTCCTGGAATTATTATCTGGAAGAATTACACAAATAATTATTCCTCTGTTTTCTCTGCACATTTTTTGCTCCTCAGCCATACTTATAGAAATTTTCAGAAGCCACATTATAACTATTGGCCTGCATACACTTTTCCCCTCTTTTCCCTCCTTCATATATCAGAGCTGTTTCCTAGAAAGTCTTAGAATGAATTTATCAAACCTCATCAGAATTTGATCCTTACTTTAAAATGTGATATGCATTAACAGGTAACACAATTTTTACGTTCATGTGAACTACAGATCCCCTGTATCATGAAATTAATGTCTTCAAGACGGAAAAATGCTAGCAGTCACTGAATTACTGCCTGCAGATACCGATCAGGTGAGTATGCACAAGCTGCTCAAGAAAAGCAGTGACCTAAAATGTGACATTGCCAATCTTCTTAAAGAAGATATGTTTAGAAATTGCTTAAATGAGTCACTGCTCCATAAGCAAAGGGAAAGATTAGAAGACTGAGGGAACAGACTCTCCATTCCTCAAGACATTCCAGTACTGGAATATTCTGTCATTGTCATTGTCCCAAATACAAATGAAAAGCTGAAAAGTGTGTATATTACGTGTGTGTGTGTGTGTGTGTATATATATATAATTTTTTTTTTATAGGTGTGCATAATAACACAAAGTTCCAACAAAAATTAATCAGAAATATTTCAAAACATTTTGTTCCTAAATTTTGGGTCAGTTTATCATTAAATTGAGTTTTAGAAGAGATTCTTTCATTTGGTGTCCTGATGTTTGTATTTTTCTCTTGTGGGCATTTTCTTTGGCCCGAATACATTTTCCCTTATGCATTTCCAGTCATATGATGCCTGTGACACACTACTTTGTTTGGTTATAGGGGAGTCTCAACGCAGTGAGGTAACTCTCCAGGAAGTTCTGCCTTCAGGGGACAGCACAGCCCTGAAACCTTGCAAGGCAATGGGCCAAGACAAAATGCACAGTTCAACACTGACTGATTAAAAACAAATATTACATATCCAAACCCTACTTACGCCCTCACCAAAAAAAAATCTGATTTTTTAAAACCCACCCAAATGGAAACAATCTGTCTTCATTTTCCTAATAGGAAATGAAACTCCAACAAAATTGAATTTCTGAGAAAAAATTTTGTCGTTGTAAATATTTCATTTTCCTTCGGAAAATAAAATAATTCTAATGGAAGATCCTCAGAATCATCTGGAACAGGGGAATCTTTTGCTAGTGTTTTATAAAGATTTTTACAATGAACTCTACAAAACAATGATCAAAGTAAAGCTTACAAAATATTAGTTTATAAAAGATTAGACAAGAAGAAGAATGCAGAAGAACCCCAAAACTCACAAAAACCCAAAAGCCATAAAAATGTGTTCCTATAGTTAAGATGAGAACAGAGCATCCTAGATAACATCTCTCATCAGACAGCAATGGCTGGAGAGATGTTCTGGCATAGGTAACTTGCATTACTCAGCACAGTCATGCATTCGTACTGAGTCATTAGTCAGTAAAGTCTAGAATATGACATCTTCATAGATCTCTGTAGAAGATCATGGCTTTCAAGAAATAAAATTGAGGAGCAATATACATATCTATAAAACAGGACAAAGATAATACCTGTGTTCATTTAAGAATGAAATAGGAGTGAAACATATATATGTGTGTGTGGACACAGGTTGTATTTTGATCTTAATACAGGTTTTTAAACAGCAGGCGAACCTTCTGAAATTTCAGTGGGAATGCAAAATATGTACAGCATACCACATCTCACTTGGTACAAAATAATAAGCAGCAAACTTATTCTGGATCAGAAAAGATGATGTATCTAAGAACAACTGTACTTACTTGGCTCAGAAGTTCACCTAACTGAGTGTGCTATTGTGTACAGTGTCCAAAAGGAGATTTTTAGGGAAGAGTTTAAGAACAAAGAAAGCACATGGTGATACTTCCCTGCAGTGGCCTCCCAGCTCCAGAAATTCATCTGTGAGCCAGAGGTCATGCTTTGGTATCTTCTCTGCCTAGAAGAGCTCAGTTCCATGAACTTGCTTAGTTTTCGCTTGACTGATACAAGTTTTAGTATCCACAACACCCTGAAAGTTGAAGTTCCCCAGCTTAACCCCTCTTGTGTAAAGAACCATTTTTAAACACCTGCCAGTTGCTGTTTCATATGATGGCCTCTTCTTCGTGTATGGGAAAGGACAATGAACAGCCATTCTCGATTCATCCTCTTTCCCAGCAAAAATCTTTAAAATATCATATTGGACCCTTACACACCAGCAAAATAACAGCATGAAATTCAACCTGCACAAATCAAGTGGCATCACATTGGAGTCAGCAAGGCTACAAAAGCCTGGTCTTGTCTGATTATCAATTCCAGTTAACACAAAAATAGGATTGTTTCTCCAATACCTGTCGCTGATTTTCTGTCTCTAGTCTCAGTCTGGCTTCTACACATCTTCTGGTCTCCAGGAAGGCTTGACGTTGTGCTCTGTCTGATAGGTAGCTAATGAAGATTCCTGCAGTGTTCATACACATAAATAACACTGCCTGAGCCGCTATCTGCAATGAACAACAAATAGGATTTGATCAGACAGCAGAAGGAAAAATATCTGTTTAAAAAGAGAGAGAGAGAGAGAGAGAGAAAATGAGAGAATGCCTGGTCTGCAGTCATGTAGGCTGTAAAAATAATGGTTAGGACAGAATCTCTTGGATCTTAATTAGAGGCATCAAATGTGTAAAATTCTCTCTGCCTTGAGGAAGAAATACGCAGTATTTGGGGGCATTACACTCTAGTTCCACCACAAATGATGTTTCCAAGAGCTGACTCACAGGTATCTACTCAGGAATGATTACAAACGTAATTAAAATTTGGTTTTGCACTGCCTCTTTGTGATTTGTTCCATGGCTTAGTTTGAGAAGAAAGCCCTGTTAAGGAAGACAGTGTAAGTTAGCTAAGAATTAATATCACTGATAATAGTTATTCTGTTATTATCGACCAAATTAAATAAATTCATTTTCAGTTGATGCCAAAGCTGATGCCTGCACTGTCTGAATCCTGAGCTGTTCAACATAGGAAGCTGAAAGGATGACCGAATTCTTGCACAGCCTGTGCCTGTGTACACAGACTTTTTCTTCACTGAGGCCTACGTAAGAACTGCACCCTTTTTCCTTGTAGAAGGTGCGTCACAGATTCTTGGTTTGCGAACTTAAAAGAGCCAAATGGGAGGGGATCTTCAGACAGTGTAAATTTGAGTTGCTTATTTGTCTTTCACTGGTACCTGCTCTCTGTATGTCTCTAAGGCATTGACACCATTAAAGTGAGGACTGTTTGGGAAACTGAGTAAGAAACATGTAATATTTGCATGCACTAGAGACAGAACACAGACCTGCAGTTTCAGCAGCTTTATGCAATACCTCATCTGGTTATCGGTTGCGAATTCATGTGAACTCCTCTCAGTTTCCACTTCATCCTGCCTTTTCTAACTTGTGAGAGGGTCAAGAGTGAAAAGTGAGTCTGGAAGTTACTGATATTCTTGAAATGCATCATGTAGGGCCAAACCACTCTGCCTGCTACCTTAGCTAGAGGAGTCATCGGGGCACAGTGAACCAGCGGAAAGTCTGCAGACTGCAGCTCCTGGTCTTCCTGCCAAGGTCCAGGCACAGCCACCATGCTGATGAGGTCCCACTGAGTGCACCCTGCCTTGTGGGATCGCACCTCTCTCCCAGTGCCAGACCTGCTGTGGAGCAGGAGGGGGCTACATTACCCTGTGGACACGTCAGCTGCCCAGAAAAGCGTAATGTTATGGGTGATACCTACAGGATCATAAGAATATCAGAATAGCCATGCCAGGACAGATCAAGTGCTCGTCATTTAGGATTCTGTCTCTGATAGTGGACAACAGAGAGCGTCCAGGTAGGAGTACAAGGATAAAACAGTAGGTGCAAGTACAAGAGCAAAGCAAGCATTCAGTGATGTTTTGTCAAAGCAATCTTGAACACCAGTAATCTGTGGTTGCAGAACATTGTGGACTAGAGGTTGCATTTTTGTAGTATTATCTGATAATCACTCTCCCTAAAATCAAAGTGTTGCTTGTCCTAATCGAAGAGAGAAATCATTTAGCAAAACCCCCTAATCTCATTGTGATGCTGTGCCTCAGACCTGCAGGTCTCGCTCCTCACATTCACATGGTTTTGGAAGCGAGATTTGATATCAAACCAAATGCATCTGGCAGAAACTTCAGCTTTATATATTCCTGCATTTCTGAATCTGGAGTATTGTTCTTCAATAGCACAGGGAACTCATTTACAATTCATATGCCATGATTAAACAAGAACGCATATCCTGGCTCCAGCTGAAGTTTTGTTTAACCTTTTCCAGTAATAGACGTCTAGGCAAAGGTTATGAGAACCAGGGCATGATAAGCATGATCCTTGCATCTTCCTGGCTTCCAGCATCCTGTGGTTTACAGCACCTCTGACCTGGAGGTGGCATAATCTATCCATTTGCTTAACTTTTTCTGGTACCTTTCTGAAATCAATTGTACCTTTGGGTCCAACGGCATTCAATGGCAAAGATTTCTACAAGTTAATTAGGCACTTTCTGATAAAAATGTTTCCTTTTGTTTGCTTCAATTCACAGCCTTATCATTGAGTTCCCATCATGCTTATAATATGAGAAAATGACTAACCATTCCCAATTCATCTTCCTCTCACTATTCATGATTTTACTGACTTACAGCATTATCCCTTACTTTTGGGACTATTTAGTCTCACTGCATTTGTCACTATTCCACCCCTGTGCTTACTGGTTTTCCCTCCTATCTACCTTACCCTATTTTAGGCTGCCCTGGACCAGTCAGCTTCCCCCAGACACTTTCCGCCTTTGCTACAAGATAAAACAGAGAATGCAGTAACTCAGCCCATGAGCTAATTCCTTTCTGGTGCAGGCGACTAAGAGTTGTATGATGAGCTGACATGAGATAAGACCAGTTCAGAGTGACATTGTTCAGCAAAAAAATCAGCTGGAGGAGTAAATGTTTCATATGTTTTTGACTGACTTGAAGATAATCTATGCTCACACACTAGGAAAGTTAGAGCATAGGCTGAAAAAAAGCAAAGTTTTTCACAGCATTTGAGATACGCGTTTCAACAGTGAAAGCAGTGGTAGGGTGCTCTCGTTTGCTTGCAAATTCAATTGCAAGCTCCTCACGAGCCCAGTTCAGTGCCCTGTCTCTGCTAATACTCAGGACTAACACCACTCACTTCAGCAGATCTCCTTAGAGCAAATGCAGTAGAATTTGGCCTTCATTTAGATTTCATAAGCACATAATTTGATTTGGACAAAGGGAATTATGGAAAACATGTTACAGGTAAAACAACAGCTTACTCAGAGGCAGTCTGCTTTTCTTACATGTAGTAGTCTGACCGAAACCAATCAAAGCACTGTGCCTTGCAGGATAGTGCTCTGTGGCCCTTATTAGGAAAAGAATAAAAAAAGACATATAAGACCTGAGTCTCTCATTACCACTCCTTTTTCCTACAGCTTACTGTGGTAAATTCCAGAAGTCTTGCAGGATTTTCTACTGCCTGTTGGGGCCACAAGCCAGGGCAGACTCTGATTTCGTAACACTTAGGCAGTTTCCTATCTTTTTGACTGACCTGAAGATAGTCAATGCTTACATAGTAGGAAAGCTGAGGTATAATATGAAATAAAGAAAATCTTTTCACATTTATAAGCTTTTTAGTCTATTGGTACCTTGCACACCACTCAAATAAACAACTGTAGGTGAGACAGCAAACGATCTTAAAAAGCTGAGTGATACGTTTTGATGTTATATAGGGCTCTGGGGAGGTCTGCTTCTTGAATATTTAAAAAAGCAAACAGGAAGGTACCCATTGCCATGCTGCTTGGGAACATCCATGTTACAGGATCA